CCGACTGCCACAGGTCAGCGTCAGGCGTGGCCGACAGCAAGGAGGATATCCACCTCCACAGCCACCCGCGGGTAACCGTGCGACCACGACGTCCGCACTGGTCAAGGTTCGACGTGCACATCAGTTTACAAAACTTACGAAACCTTAACCCACGCGTGGTGACACGCGATCTGCGGAAGCTACACTTGCGTTGGTTCCATGCGAAAGAGCTTAAGATGATACTCATCTGAACCAAGATAGGTCTGGACAACGTCAGACTCAACCTGCTTAAAGGTGTATGCGAAACATGCCGGGAGTGCAGGGCTTGGGGCATGCTTGGGCATGCGGTTATGCCATCTATTGCACCGCCTGGCAGGTTCAACGGAGAAGTTGAATGTGAGCCTTATCTCCACCAACAAGAACATAATGTATTTCGTATCATCGTTCGTTGTATTCGATATGCTACTGGAATGGAGGTACGAGACAAGACGATGTCCAGTGTCCTGGATGCCTGCCATCAGTGCTGGATGCAGTTTGGACCTGCGAAGGTATTCTACTCCGATGGAGAGGGTGCCCTCAACAACGACACTGCGAAAGCAGTCCTTAAGGCAAAGGGCACTGAACTAAGGATACGTGCGCGTGGGCAACACGCTACGACGACCGAAGCCAGAAATGACATTGCGCCATCTTATTCATGACGTGGAAGCTGAACTTAACAGGTTAGACATACTCTTGTGTTCACACGACTACTGCATGAGGCCCTGTTGGCCGCCAACGTGTTCACTTTCTACAGCGAGGTGTCTCCATGCAGCGCCCTGTTTGGACGGCAACCGGCAATGCTCCTTGACTTGCCGATCCTGGATCACGAACGTCCGACGGAGGCGTCGGATCATTCTCGTGAACAGGTGATGCGCAAAGTATGCATTGAAGCTTTCGCACAGGCCACCGCAGTAGCCAGGACCAATCGCGCATTACGCACTCGGACAACTGTCACCGGTCAGCATTACTTTGGTGAAGGAGATTCAGTTGATTTCCATCGCCCCACAACCGCGAAGGACGATTGGGGAGGCTGGACTTGGCCCATCCCCAGTCGTAAGAAACGGCCCCGAGAGGGTTCAAGTCATCATTCGAGTGGGAAGCCGCGACGTTCAGGTACCCAGCGGCGATGCACGGCATTCACTCTATATTGAAGCTTTGATAGCCAGAGAAGTTGGCTCCGACAACACTGCATTACGGACAGTGTTGACGTTCGTGGCCAGTTTACCTGCGGGGGGACCTGCTATGACATGTGGCTATGCCCCGACCAAGAAGGGGATGCGTCACATGACGGTCAAGCCGACTATCTTCTCAGGTACACCTGGCTTTGCAATGCCTTATCAGGAACTTCTTCCGCATTGAGAACGTAATTTCGGTCAGGTTAGCCAAGAGTACCCATAAGCTACATCCGGTTGCTTACGCTGACAGTTGCACACTGGTGCACAATGACAACGATGTGGATCCAGGATTTCACGACTATGAAGCAGAAGGCACCGCTCTTAACATTAAAGATAACTGGATCAGCACATGCTGGAATCACCCAGTGCCTGAAGTCCACCAAGCCTCACGCGGGCTTTGACCAGGATGTTGCAAAGTTTGAGGAATTGGCGGATGCACTGGCATCGGATGGAACCGCAAGAGAAGCCTCAGAAGCCGAACCACCACAGGAGGACGGATGGCCTCCCACGATTTATGAGGAATCGGAGGCTGACCTCGAGGCGCACGTTATGGAACTGCGGCATACAGAACTTCAAGATGAAAGGGAGTTTCTGGAGGCAACTCCACAATATAATCTTTTCGCAGTACCCGCGCATGCGATTCCAGACAACAGTGCGCTGATCACTGTAGCTGAAGAACAGCGGGGACACCTGCCTCAGTGGGGGCCCCACACGACTCCGACATCGAGGAGACGTATCATGTCTTTTTGTGGTCCACGGTCGAAGATTGCAGTTACGGGTTGGGCTCATACGAAAATGGACAATATGTAGAAATCTGCTTCACGGCAGACATGTCAAGGGTAGTCCTGTCCGAACAGCAGCACAATATATTAGACGCCGACCGCGTGACCACCGTGCAAGTATGTGTTGCCGTCGCTCCAAGGCGAGCTGCGGCCGTCAAGGAAGACGACCTCCTCGCGAAGGCTGACGTCCAGGCGAATCCCGAGAAAGTATCGAAAGCCCTATGCACTGAACTCAAGGCATGGTTTGGCAACACACGCTTCAAATTGCAAGACATATCTAAAGCGTCAGACATCATGACTGCGAGGCACGTGTACAAATTAAAGTTTGTGCACAACGAGAAGGGCGGAATGGGGCGTGCCATCCGATTGCGTTTGGCGCTTCGAGGCTTCATGGACTTTGAAGCTTTTGACGTGGGGACTTTTTTCGGGAACAGCGCGGCGGTCTAGCCAGGGGCTACTTGCGAGCGCGGCAGCGTGCAAGAAGCAATGGACCATTGCCTCCCTCGACATCAACGCGGCCTCCCTGACAGGGTTGACCTACCAGGAATTCGCTGAGACAACTGGTGAAAAGGAACGCGTGACGCGTTTTACTTTGCCGCCTGGATCGGCCGCGGTGCTTCGAACTCTCCCAGGATTCGAACGCCGCGACGAGTCGAAGCACTGCTTGCAGTACCTTGCGCCAGGCACTGGCACCAAAGACGCGCCCCGAGCATTCCCATTTAAAGCTCAGAAGGACCACGAGAGGTTTTGGTATCAGACCCACGTCTTACGACGAGGAGGTCGAGACGAGCAGTGGCCTGCTCACGGCCAAACAGGTTGATGATATCAATATGTCCGGCATCGATGACACCATTGACAAGCGCGTCAAGTGCGTAGAAGACACTTTTGGTAAGTGTAAACTCAACCAGTACACGTGGGCCAATTGTGCTGTGAGATATACCAAGGATGAGGGCGGCAGTGATGCTTTGGACCAAGACGCATACATCAAGCAGCTCCGTCCTATACAACTTCCTGAGCGCACCGGCGCCGACGCTGACGCTCGGGCATCCAAGATGGTTGCAGTCATGTTCGTCAGCCTTAGAGGCGCCCTGGCGTATGCATTAGTCACCCAGGCGTGGTTGATGGCATATGTTGTTTCTCTACTGCGCGCCCAAGAACCGACGACTGAACGCGATTTCCGGGAAACTGCAGGCCTGCCCGAAGAAGATCGTCTACCAGGCGATGGCCCCATACAGGCGAGGTTGACCTGCACAAGGACTCAGGGTACCGACGCCTGAGTGGAGACGCCGATGACGAAGTCAAAGGATATGGCACTCGCGGGGCAAGCCTGCTGCGGCGTGGAAACACGCCATCTGGCAAGCCCGTCGTTCACTTGATCGATGCGCACTGCGAGTCTCGCCGCTTGCAGGTCCGCTCGAGCCATTCAGCAAAGACACTAGCAGCTGCCCACAACTTGGAGGACTCTTATCCCACGATCGTGACTCTGCACGAGCTCCACGCAGGGCCGCTAACTCCCACTCACTTGAAATACATACTTGAGTTGGGTGGCCTGACCATCGAGGTCACTTTGACCATAGATGCTGAGTCGGTTTAAAAATCCTTGTCAAGCAAAGACCTGGAGAAGCCGACTGAGCGTTCCGTTTTAGGACGCATCAGTTGGATGCGACAAGTGATGGAGCGAGGAATCGTGCACAATTTCCAGTGGTGCGAAACCGCGATACGACTGCGGACGGTCACACCAAGGGGAGCATCGACAGAGAAATGCTCCTACAGGTCATCGGAGGTACACAACCCCTCACACATGATTTAAAGCGTCACACTCCCTATGGGGCTAGCCAGACATCTCGTTCTGTAGCCGCCTTAGGAATATTCGTATGCACAGTATAGTGCAGGCAAGGCAACTTGCGTGCGGGTCCACCTTCCTTACGGTTCCGCCCTTTTGCTGCCCTTTTTGGAAATAGTCGCTGCAATACCTGCTGTATAGACGCGGCGGATTCACGCCTCGTCTCCCTCCCCCCCCCTTGGCTCTAAAGTGAGTTGGGCGTTGCATGTGAGTGGGAACGAGCGTGCATCCGCGGCTGTTTGGCTCAAAGCGGCCGGCCGCCCAGATCTGACTACACTTCAGCGCGAGGCGCACTATTTGCCATCGATACCAAAACTGCTTGAGATGGCTCGCCCCCTACTTGGGACTATCGTTACTACGGTATCACAGAGCGGGAGCTGGGCTTCGCATGAGGCGACGTTGCTGGTTGGGCCCCCCAACCCTTTTCAAACTAGGTCACCGTGGAGTCGTCGAGGGCCCCGCGCCTGACGTGCGCCCTTGCGGGGAGGGGGTGGGGCACCAGGGCCGGGCCCGCCTCGAAGAAGTCACCAGGAGATTGCGCCCGCGAGTTAGCTGGGTGGCATTTCCCGGGCGAGCGTCGGGCGTCGAGTAATGGGGGTGCGATGAGTGGGGGGGTGGAGAATGGTGCGCCCTCTGTGCCCTTCGGGGCCCCCTGGGGCCCAAAATGGGCATTCCCCTTCCCCCCCAATGTATCGCCCCCCCCCCTTACTGAACGCCCGAGAGCGGGCCCCGACCACGGCATCCTTCCGTTTTTCCCGAGTAGCGTTCCGATTGAGGGCTCAAGTTGTGGTTCGTAGATGAGTACAGGGGGAAATTGAAACCCCGGACAGCTTTGGACCGCCCAGTCCAGCAGAAGTTTTCGTGCTCTCGCCTCAATGTTGGCTACGTGTTTGGTCCGGACAGCTGCGATCCTTTTGCAAAAGAAAACATTTAGGTGATGCACGTTCTCACTAGCCGAGCTCCTGCTCGTGCACCGTTTTTTCACATTTGTTGCTTGCTATTGGGGTGCTCTGCTGGAGTAACCCTTCGGGTGCGGGCGAAGTGATCTGTCCCCTCGTCAAGCGCGGCTGCCCCATTGGCCCCTGGGCCTGCCAGGCATGCTGTCGCCGCAGCTGGTGTCAGCGGATGTTCTCCTCTTGCTCATGCTTTCTTCGCACTTCCTGCCCCTCCGCATTTCACCAACGCGTGTGGCCGCGCAGGAGGTCCGCATTACGATGCCCATGTCTTGCTCGTGCCGCACTTGCTTGGTGGAGCTGAGGGAGAGGGGGAGCGCTGGCGGAGGAGCACCCAGGGAGGCTACCGCCGTCTCGCCCCAGCGGCCTGCGATGGCGCCCGCGACGCCATCGACGATGGACGCGCTGAAGCAGGCACGCGAGGATGCCGGGGCGCAGTGGGATGCCCCCCCCCCCCCCCAGAGCGGGGAAGGAGTCGCTCGGCTTGTGACAATTTGTTCTGGCTCCCTGTGAGCCGGGCGACGTCCCAGATCTGGAGCTTATAGCTGGCTCCTTCACTCTTTCCGCGACTGCTGGCTACGAGGCAGTTGCAGGTCACGATCCGCAGCGTGGTCGTTATCGTGATTCCCACAAGAACGGGTATCACCTATGCGGGGACACAGTCCCATCCTGGCCTACTCGAGACATGGTGTGCCCCGTGCTCAGTCGCCAGGAATGCCATTGGGGCAATTTGGTTCATGTGGTCCGGCGACGCGCGAGATGACCTTGCCCTGCACCTGCTGTTGTTACTGCTGCCTCCTCTCCGCCGCCACCGCAAGCTGCCATTGCAGTTTGCATTCTTGCTGGGGCAACGAATGCTGCAGTGGCTTCTGCGAGCACCACAGTCAGCCGAGTGTGAGGCTCCGCTGGCTCAGACGGCTTATTCCTCGAGTCGCCAGCAAGCGAGGGAGGGAGGTGGGAAGCGGGCGAAGGCGGCGGAACAGATGGTGGAGAGAGGAAGGGAGGTGGGAGGGTCACGCGAGGAGCTCGAGCTGTCCCTGAGAGCCCTGGAGTGCCCCAGCGCCAGCTCGGCCGGCGCCGCGAGGGAGCTGCTCGGAGGCCCGGGCCGCGGGGGGCCCGCGGAGTTGAGCGCGGAGTTCTCGGACCTGCGCGAGATGTGCGACGGCACCAAGGCAGGCCAGCCACAACTGGGGCGTGTCGTATTCACTGCAGGTTTGGGACCCCTAGCGTCGAGGACTCCCAGATGCGGCCCGAGTAGTCGGGGTCGGAGATCGCGACACATCGCTGATGCAGCTCGATGTGGAGCCCGATGATCTCCTCGCCGACGGCGCAGATTCATCGGCGATGCATCGGCGATGAGGCGCGATCTTCCGACCCCATCTACTCGGGCCCCGTGTGGGAGGCCTCTGTAGAAAGGATGATACGCTCGAGCCAGTATGAGATGCATCCTTACCTTTTCTGTTCGGCATCGGACATCCGATCTCGAGGGCCAGTTGCTGCACCGTGAAGCCTTTATCCTTGCATTCTTGTGGCTGGCCCCGACTGCACCCCATTAGGAACCCATCGGCTTCGACACTCCTCTCGAGAGGTCGACGCGGTGGGTTACTCTGCGGGCGGAGGCAAGGAACCCAGATTCCCGATGTTTTTTCCAATACGGGGCCGCCAAAATCACCTACCTTTTCCCCAGGGCCACCTTCTCATCCCAAGGCGAGGGAAACCGTTCAAACATGTCATCAGATTGAACTGGTTTCTCCCAGGCCTCGTGTAGCGTGCCGGTCATTCTTCTGCTTGCCAGTCCCTCCCATGCATTTTTCTGCATACATGATATTTCACAGTTCTAATACATGGGAGTTCCTCCCGGCTCTTCTTGCGGCCGCCAGGAACCTCGCGGCCCTCGGCGTCCACCGCTAGACTGCCGCTGCGGCCGCCCAATGCCCCAGCCTGCCCGCGACACCTGTCTGCCCAGAGCTGGTCTTTGTTTCTGGGCCTCCCGGCTTGCCCGGCGGCGCAGTGCGAGTGCACCTGCCCGGAGCCAGAGTTGGGCCGCTGGCTTCTGCTGGCCGGGGCTGGTGTGGCTGTCGGCGTCGGGCTGGGCGGCCTGAGTGCAAGCGCGGGGAACGGCTACGCGCTCGGCCGTGTGACAGCTCGGCCTCGGACTGAGACCTCGACGGCTTTGGCTTCCCCGCCTGTGTGCGACGTGCTTGGTCAGACTCGGGCTCTGGAGATCACGCCGAGTAGCGGACGAGATGGCGGCGCGGCCGTGCACTCTGGACTATGGGGAGCTTCAGATACTTGTAAACTTCCCAGCTGATCCTCTTCCGTGGCACCACCGAGTGCTCTTCTTCCACCTCGGTGACGGGGCTTGGCTACGCTTGACTCCCGACATGGAAATCTCGCGGAACGACCTGAATGTCCTCCGCCTCTACGTCTTCGACAGGAACGCCAATTTCCCTCGGTGGGGGCTGGCGGGCCTGCGCGCGTTTGGCTCTCTGGATAATCCTGGGGAGCTGGCGGACATGAGTCGTCAAGCGAATCAGCGAGTGGTCTTGCACGGTGCTGGCGATGTCTGGGAGGCGGGAGCTATGATCTGAGTGGTCGGCGACCTTCGTGATGTTCGCGTCGGTGAGCTGCTGAGTGAGCAGGCGGTCGAGGACTACAAAGGCTGCGTGCATATGAGAAGGACGGGGGTGATCATCCTTGATCGAGTCGAGCGGATGATCGTTCGGATCAGCAGGGAACGCGTCGTTTGGATGAAGGACCAGCGGGGGCGCGAGACAGACATGCAGACCATCGGCGACCATCGTGCGAGGTTGGGTCTCCGAGGCGTTGACCTCAGAGAGACGGTGGAGATGATGGAGCTGGTGGACTTGGTGGACAGCTCGGACCTCGGTCTTCGTGCGATGGCTTAGTTTTTGTTCTCGGTGGCGATGGGCAGTGGCAACTTTGCGAGCTACCAGGCGGAGCGCGAGGGGTCGAACGGCGTCTTCACGAGAGGTCCCCCCGAACCATGAGCACCGCATCTTGCTCGAAATCATGCGTCGTGCGATCTGCCTCGACCAGTCGAATGCGAAGAACTTCCATTGCATGGATGCCGTGGCGCGTGGGGTCGTGCAGATAGAGATGGCGGTGCAGCCGACCCCTCGGCACCCCGACTTCTCGGGCCTGGAGGACCTCATCGAGGGCCGACGGCCGCCTCTGGATCAGCTGTCCCCCATTCCCTCCGAGCCCCCCTCGTCGTGATCCCCTCCCGTGCCCCTCCGTGCTAGCCTCTTTGGCTCAGGTGCGCCCCGCGCGCACAGTGGCGCCTCTCCCCGCCCCCATGCACTCTCGCAGTCAAAAAGGCCCCCCTCCTGCCCCCTCCAGCGCCAACAGTTGGTAGCGGAGCGATGGTTAGAGATGGGGGGCTTGCTGGGCAGCAGGGTGGTGATGAGAGAGGAGGCAGTGGGGCGCCCGCTGGCATGGACGGCGATGATGATGGCGGTGGGCGAGATGACCTACCGCAAGTTCGAGGTGCTGGGACAGATCCCTGGCAGGACGCAGCAGATGGAAATCTTTGGAGCTGGTCGAATGGTCACACATGGTGGAGAAGATCAGCGTGGCAGGGCTGGATGGCGACCGACACTTATGCCGCCAGAACGGCCGAGGCGGGCACGACGGCCGACGACCTAGGCGCATGGGATGGCTGGAACGCCCGCGTGGGGGCCCAAACGAGCGGGTGGCAAGATTGGCAAGGTGGCGGTTGGTCTCGGGCCGGATGGACTTCATCGACGCATCGTAGCCGAGACTTCGGGCCCCCCCCCGGCGCGGTTGGGTTTCGACCATCTGGATTTGCACAGACATAACCTGAACGCTTGGTCCCAGCGGACCGGCTACCAGAACTACCAGCAGGCGGCGAAGGTCGTGGAGACCTACCCAGAGGAGACGCAGGCAAAGTTCAAGGTCGCGCGCTCCACTCTCGACGCCGCGGATGGGATAGCCAAGCTTCTGTCACATCTATCGACGCTAAACGGAGAACGCCCAGGTGACCGGGAGAGGGGCGCGCAGAACCTGGCCCCGTTCGATCACATGATCAAGAGAGGAGAAACGTTGACCGACTATGCGCTGCGACGAGACGCCCAGATCGCCGAGGCCGAGTGTCATGGATTGACGCTGCCCGACGCTATTAAGGCGCGCTATCTAGAGGAGGGGGCGGCGCTCACGCAGCAGGGCAATATCAACCTGAGGACGATTTCCTTGGGATGTACCGACTTCTCGCCCATCCGACAGGCGTTGCTGAAGCTGGGCGTCAGCGAGAAGGCGCTCCCCACTCCGCCTCCGGGGCCCCACAAGACCTTTCCGGCTGAGACCGAGGCCGTCGAGGACTCGTTCTACGAGGGCGGGGGCCTGGGCGACGAGGTCGAGATGCCAGAGGAAGAGGCGGGGGCGTTCCTGACGGCGCTCGAGTCTCAGGATCTTGACGAGGACGAAGTGATCGACGTCTTGGCGGCGCTCGTGGAGGAGCGATTCGGGGAGGGGAAACGACGCGCGTGGAAGGATTCTCGGAAGCTCCAGATGGCCAAGAAGGTGGGCCGCGATTTCTTTGACCGCGAGCGTGCTCGACCAGAGCGCCTGCTCGGATCGGGCGTGAAGGGGGGGTCGCGGCGCGCCAGCTGTGGAGAGGGGCGCTGGGCTGACAGCTGCAAGAATCCCTATCGCGCCAAGAGCGACAGGCTGGCGGCGGAGACGGATGAGCCACGTTCTTCAGGTGCGGGATTCTCGGAGACAACCTTCCTGTTCGAGAATGACGGCGGCGGCGGATCGCTGATTTACTTCGCGATCGAGGCCGGCGCCGTCTGCGAGAGCCGTCGCCGAGCCGACTACTGGGGAAAGTTCGCGGGGGAGTGCATGCAGGGCCCAGGGGTCGTCAGCTTCCTGAGCACGAGGGGCGCCCCAGGCGCGGCCGCGCTGGTTGACGCCGCGGCGGCGCAGGCGCTGATCGGCAAGCCCGACCTGGAGATTCTGATTCAGGCCATGCAGGCTCGAGGCTACAAGGTGAAGGTGGACCTGGCTCAGGCTCCGGCGAAGGGGTTGGCGGCTTCTGGGATTGGAGGTCGTACGTCTCCGATTGGCAAGGCATGGGCCCTGGTGACGATAGCAGGGTGCGGGATCGTCGAGTTCATGGCGCTGCCCCAGGCTTGCCCTCCGCTTCTTCCAGCGAGGCTGCTGGAGACGATCGGGGCCAGCATCGATCTGAAGATGGCCGTCATGACCGTTGACGAGGAGGGCGAGAGGATGGACCGGCCGCTGACCGTGCACCCCGCCGGCCACAGGTCCGTCGACCTCGTCCACCGCGACCCCCAGACGTTCGCCCTGAGCGCCGGCCTGGTCGGCAAGTTCTCGATCGGCGACTTCTGCGCGCGACAGGGCCCGAGCCCGCCCGCCCAGCTTTCCGTTGGCACGCGAGCGTGCCCCGGCAGTGGGTGTGAGGATGGCAGCAGCGTAGGCAGGAGATCACGTTCCTCTCCCCCCTCTCTCGTCGTTAGTCGGGTCTCGGGGGCCCGGGGACAGCGGCCCTGCTCCTGCCCAGCAGCTCCCCCCCTCGGTTCGAGCTTCGAGGGTCGACTGGAGCGCGGCAGCCGCGCGCGCGACAGCATTCAGAGATGGCGAAGGATACCAAGATGCACAAGACGGCGAAGGCGAAGGAGAAGCCCAAGTCAGGCCAGACGGCGCTGGCGGGGCTTCGCCGCAGGGCGCAGATGGCCACGATGGAGGGCGGAGAGGAGCCCGGCTGGAGACGCTGGACTCGTCGCGGGAGGCCGTGCACGTGGACGCGACCGAGGAAACGAGCGCCAGGATCAACGCGATCATGGAAGCCGAGGCCCTGACGGACCAGGAGCAGCTCTGGTTCAACGAGGGCGTGTGCGCCGTGGAGCCGGCTCACCTGCGCGGGAGGCGATTCGCCCTGAGGGCTCTCTGGCTGAGCCGGACTTGCGTCGGGATGATGGACGCGATGGCGGAGTGCCCCTCGGCCCAGGAGAAGATGCCTATGGAGGACTGCGTGCATCCGCCGTGGGCCCGAGTCTCCGGGGGGAATCAGCACGCTTGGTGGACGGACTGCGCGCAGTGCGACACTCGCCTGACCTGCCGCGAGAAGACAGACGAGGAGAAAGCCGAGGCGGCGGCTCGCAGGGCG